GGGAAGCAAGGTTGACCCTTCTGAAGAAAGATGTATTCAAGGGCTTTTAAAAATTATGTGGGATCGGTTAGTGGAGGAGGCACCTATTGATCTACTGAGAATGGATCAATAGGTGCATGTAATACTAGCTTAGCAGTCATGCCTGCACTGAAGTAAGTGCATCAGTTGCATTTGTTGGGGGCAACTTAGTATTTGGATTTGCCAGCAGCTCAGTTAGAGCAATTTCCCCCAACCGCTTGCAGTGACATCCCAACCACTGGATGACTAGCACTATGGATTGTTCTATGCAAGGCATTTATGGTGTGCTCATCATTCCATGCTCTTGATTCTTTAGATACCATCATGACCCTCCTGTTTCACTTCTCTGACTAACTTTGGCATTTTTAGTGCATGTAAATGTGGTACTTGATTGTGAAAGTGAAAGAAAGTGTGGTTTTTTTTGGTGTAGTTGTGCTATTCTGCTATAGCCCAGTGCCACCTAGAGATTATGTGGAAAGCAGGAAAGGAAACACTCGTCATCTAGTGCTTCAGTCATAATTCCGTGATGACACTGAGAGCCGGTACAACCAATTAATAGCCAGAGAGCACTGAGAGCTGGTACAACCAATTAATAAGCAGCCTCAGGCAGAAAAGATCTTCAGCTCTTGAATCATTGGCTTACATTGGCAGGATCTGAGAAGAGCTGAAGTTCAAAATATCTGGAGGACACCAGGGGAGATTCTGGGAAGGCTGGCTAATTATGACTCAAGCTAAAGAGCAGGTTCCCACAGCAGAAGTGCATATTGCAACAGTGAAGCCTGGGAACTGGAGGCCAGGGAGCCAGGGAAGAGTAGGGATGCTAGCACCAGCTTCTGAGTCAAGAAGGGAGGCCCTTTTTAAAGCTGAGAGAGTCTCATACTTATGTGGGAAGAGGTTGGAAACAGCATTCTTGTGCATTCATTTAACCTCACCGTAGGAGTTTCTATTTATTCATTTATTTAAAAGATTTCCAGGCTGTCCTTTGGAAACCTCTCGTCCCTGCTACTGCAGAGTGGACTGGCGGAGAAGAGCTGCAGAAGGAGAAAGAACTCACACCGCATCCTTGGGCCAGACTCTCCCGGTGGAATCCTGCCTCCTGGGGCTTCTCTGGTCAGTGTAGCATCGCGACCTGCTAACTCAAAGTCAGCACAAGGACCATGGCCACAGGCCAACTGGAACTAAGCAGCCAGTCCACTGGCTGTAGTTGTAAATTCACGCACACAGCGGCGATTCATTACCCAGCCTTGTTTTGAAAAGGGAACACAAGCACAAGCTTGTTGAGTTGGTGCACACATGAAAAGCAGCACTTTTGATCAGGCGGCGCTTGAAGGCTATGTGCGAACCACCACGGATGCCGGCACGGTGTGCTCCAAGACATGCGGACTGCTGACTGCACAGGCAGCTTCCTTGTTGCTTGCTGCTGACTTCAGACGAACTCTGACACTGTCTGTGACGACGCGAGCTGTGGGGAGCAGGACCGTGTCGTCAAGCCGTGCTCCCGGTACCCACCCATTCATTCAATTCAGCAGAACTAGAGAAAGGCATAAACCCTCTTCAGACAAACTTCCCTTGCATTCAGTGAACCTGTGCAGGTGTGTGTGGGAAGGGGGCAGGGCGGCAGCAAGCCACACCCTCCCGCATCCCCAACAAGCATTCTCATTCAGCTGAATGTGTGAAAGGGGCTGCCCTGCTTGTGTGTGGAAGGGCTTGCCCAAAATCAAGAATCATGGGCAACTGAGGCTCCTCTGCATTCTACTGTTCTACCTTTGAATGGGCTTCCTAGAGAGGTCCACCAGGTGCTCTCTACTACTTCCGTTTCAGCGTCAGGCCGAAACTGTCCTTTTTCAAAGCTATTCTGAGACCTGGTTTTAACAACTGGCTGCCTGTAAGCTCTCGTTCTACTGCCAGCAGTTGGGTTTTTGTTTGGTTGGTGGGTGGGTGGGTGGGTGGGTTTTGTAACCAGGAGTTGCAATGTTGGCGTTGTATTTTAGTGTTGTACACCACTTAGGGCCCTGTTGCCCTGTATTCAGCAGACTATAAATTTAAAAATAAATATATAAATAGAAACTCTAGTTGACATACCAATGCACATGTACTTTCACACCTTCAACTGGATGTGTGTTGGGAACATATTCAGAGGGATGCGATGACAGTGCAGGCATGGCTGGGTAGGGTGCTTTTGCTCCACCTGCAAATGCTCAGTGGACTAACATGAAGAGTTAAGTCCAAAGAGGGCTTGAGTCCTACCTTTGTAAACAGAGACAAGGAGGCTGGATTGCATTGACTGGGCAGGAGGCAGGAGAAATCTGGAAAATAAATCCCTAATGGAGAAATGAGGAAAATGAATTGAAAATTTGGAAGGAGCAGAGTGGGTAATGAATTTGTGGGGTGGGGGGAGTCAAAGGAGAATAGTTATTTTGTGGGGGGAATGAATTTATGGGATGTAAATTAACTGAAGAAAAATTGGGTTGAAAGTAATCTGTGTGGGAAATGAATTGATCTACCTTTTCTAAATGGGTGCAGTAGCAAATGTCGTCTCCAAGGCATGGTTCAGTGTATCAGTATATCAGTGTTTCACTTCCGATGTGTTCAGTTTATGACCTTGGTCAAATCTGTTGACTCCATTTAGCACAGCCTCAGCTTACAACTGTGACCAGCCGGAGACTTCGAGGAACCTGATAAAGAGAAGACTTACATGTCTTCTGTAGCTGGTGATGAGAGAAGGAAGGAAGAGAATGTGTTCTGTGTACAGTTGCATGAGTCATCCTACCTCTGCGTATGAGACAAAGATTGACAAGGCAGGATGTCTTGTCACTTCTCAGGCTTGGGTGCCATGTTCCACTTCTCTAAAATAGGTAAGTGTTTGCTACATGTTTATTTGCTTGATCATATAACACACAGCAAGTCGACAAGCAGTCTGTGTCCATCACTGTCTTGGTTTTGGTCCTCTGCATACAAGTGCTTTCCTGCTTTCTGATTGCGGCATAGTCTTTATCTGCATTGTGTTAGGTAATTTTGATGGACTGATATTGTGTGTGGATAGTATATAGTAGCTGATATAGATTTCATTTATTTACTTATTTTAGGTATTATGTATGGGCTTGAAAGCTGGACAGTGCAGAAAGCTGACAGGATGAACACTGATGCATTTGAAACATGGTGCTGGCGGGGAGCTTTGCAAATAGTTTGGACTGACAGAAAGACAAACAGGTGGGTTGTAGATCAAATAAATCCAGAACTTTCCTTGGAAGCAAAAATGACACAATTGAGACCATCAATTGGGCACATAATGAGAAGGCAAGTCTCCCTGGAGAAGACAATCAAGCAAAAGAAGAGGAAGACCAAATATGAGATGGATCATTCCATAAAGGAAACTTGAGCTTCTAGGACTCAAGAGCAGGGGAGGACTTGATGGCCTGCAACAACCACACGTTTATACCCTGCCCTTCAAGATGCTCAGAAGAACGTGCAGTTGTTGTAGGCTTTAGCTTTATGTGGACCTTGCCTCCTGGCCTGCCAAGCTCAATATGAGGAGTGTTGACCTTTTAACTCGAGTGATGAATTGCATTTTGGAGAAGCTCGTGGGGCAGGTATTCCAGTGGTTGCACATACTGCCCCAAAATACCAGCAAATTGTAGCTTCTGTTGACTGTTTCTGAACTATTTCACTGGAGAAAAACCTGCACAAAAGCTAGGAAACCAACGAACAATCAGCACTTGGCGGAAGCAACATGGGGCCAGGGAAAGGGAAGAGAATTTGGTCCCCAGGTTCTGCACCCCTCCTCCATAATTTGACCACGTTCCTGCTCTTGACTTTCCAGGCTCTTCTGGTTGGAGTAGCTTCATGAGGTTGGCAGGCATCGTGGAAGTATGAATTAGTACTGAAAGTAAGTACTGAAAGTTTCCTGTTGGCCATGTTCCATGATTGCATCTCCATCACAGCCACAAAGATCCCAGAAATCCTCACATTTGGGAACGTTGTCACATATGCTCACCATGCCGTGTATCAGCCTTCACCAAGCTGGTGCCATTCAGGTGTTTTGGCCTCCAACCCCCATCTGCCTGATCCAGCATAGCCAGTGGCCAGGGATTAAGGGTACCATGGTCCAAAACACCAGAAAGGCGCCGGGATGGGCCAGGCTGTACGCATGCCCGTGCCTATATTCCACGGGACACCATGGCCACTGCGTCACGGCCACGGCTGAATCTCGCACTGCCACGGCCTGAGAGGCGCTCCCCAGATGCCAAGTGCCGCCATGTGCGCGCCTGCAGTCATTTCCCATCACGCGTGTAACACGCACGCTTCCCGCGGCAGGGGCCTGATTCGTTTCCTCGCGGGAACGGGCAGACCCTGGGATCCGGGGAGGCACCCCTTCGATCCACTCGCACCCAGCCCACCGGCTTCCACCCGCCGTCCACAAACCCCGGCGCGCCATGACACAGGCAGCTCCGTAGAGACAAAGAACGCCTCGGAAGGCGGCTCACCTCGAGGAGCCCTCGCCCCGTCGGCGCCCTTCCCTGCCGACTGCCCCCTCCTGCGGGACCGGACCGCCTGCCCCCACCGCCCTCTCCCGGGCCCGGGGCACTCGAGCACGGGCTCGCGTGCGGGAGCGTGCGTCCTCCCGCGGAAGGACCGCTGGGCTGGGCTGGGCTGGCTGGGCGGATGGTCCCCCGTGATTTTCTTTGGCGAGGAGGTGGGGCTTATGCGCGAAAGCCCGCTCTCTTTGGAGAGCCGCCGAGCGGTGCCTACGGGTATCCCCATTAATACCAAAGAAGCCGGGGAGCGCGTCGGGCAGAGGCAGCGCGCGATCCCCCGCTCGCCGCCCGGCGCTCCGGGCTCGCTGCGCGGCTCAGCGGGGAAGCGCGGAGCGCCGCGGCAGCGCGAGGAAGGCGAGCCCCGTGGCGCGGACCGGCCTCCCAAAGAGGGAGCTCGGGGACTTGTTGAGAGCTCCGCGCCGCGCCTCGGGGCCCCTCCCTCGCCCCATGGAGGAGGACGTAATGGACAAACTCGAGGACATGGCGTCGGTGAGGGACTTCGACCCCCTCGCGGGCAGCATCCCCGCCACCAAAGTGGAGATCACCGTCTCCTGCAGGTAAGCCGCGGGAGGCCGGGCGCGGCCGTGCGTGCGCGTGTGCGGGGCGGGCATCGCGGGCTGGGGGCACCGCTTCGAGCGGGAACGCACAAGTTTGCGCCGTGCAGCCTTCCACGGCTCCAGCCGGGCATGCGAGGCGCGGGCCAGGAGGGGCCCCCGCCCTCTGCGGCTCCTGCAAAGTTTCTACCGTTCTTCCGATGCTTGGCCGGGACCGGCCGGGGGCGTTTCGGCAGAGCAGCTTGGGCTACACGAAAAGCCCATCTCGGCGGGGCTGGCGGCTTCCGTCCCGCCAAGAACTCGTGCCGGGCAGGAGCGGGGTCCCGCAGCCGTGCCCAGGACGCGCTGCGTTTCGCAGGTGGGGGTGGGTGGTGTCGCACGCTTGTGTGCAGAAGCAGCCAGGCGAGGCCAGGGGCATGGTCTGCTGGGCTCGGGTGGGGTTGGCTTGGGAGCCCTGTAGACCCACAGAGGAGCAACAATTCCCCCATCAGCCACTCTGGACTGAGAGTTTGATAGAGCAGAGCAAGAGAGTGCCAGGAAGATGCCTATTTGAAGCTAAGCAAGTCTTAGCAGATAGCTTGTCTGATGCTCAGACCCCATGTTCCCCGTTCTCATCTGGTTCAGCCTGCCCAAACCAACCTCCTGCCTTCCAGTTGTTTTGGACTACAGTTCCCAGCCTTCCTAACTATTGACTATATTGGCAGGGGCCAAAGGGCACCAATGTCCAAAACATCCAGGTGGTGTGAAGCTGATCAAGTTGACCGCAGGCCTCAGTCTTTCAGGAATTACTGGTCCATGGAGAAAAACATTGCAAGATGCATGGAGTATCAGTGGAACAACTTTTATCAGTGTTTCAGTACAGAGGATACTTCTGAGCTTTGGAGCCTTCCTTCTGATAGGAAGCAGATTCTGATGAGCTTGTGTGTGTCAACAGCCAGCAGGCACTTGGATAGTGCCTTCCTGCATTCTACTCTAGAGCTGTTCACATTGGTTCTTGATGGAACCGGTGTGCTTGCGAAGCTGTCCTTTAAACTTGGATCGTGTCTCAGTAACCCAGTTCTCCCATAGTGACAAGCCAGAGTGCAGACTTAACAGTGCGCTGTCACCGAATCATGAGTTGTTGAATTGTGGTTATGTGTGATCCCTGCGCTATTGTTTAACCACCGACAATGCAGAATTCACAGCCCAACAAGAAACTGGGTTCTCTTCCTGATTGTTTGTGGTGAATAACCCATCATTAAACCACACTGTAGGTTTTGCACATAACAACAACCCATGATTCAACAATACACACTCACCATGTACTCTGGATTGTCATTATGTGTGAGCCAGGTCAGTGGCAGACCAGATCCTATTCATAAAGAAGGTTTTTGGTTCAATCCCTATTGGGCATCTCTGGAAAGACCCAGGAAATAGCTTTGAGTCAGACACTTCCCCAGTATGTCACTTTCCAGATGTGTTGAGCAATTCCCCTTATCCCATGCTGCCTGAGGATGATAGACTACAACACATCTGGAGGGCACCATGTTGGGGAAGGCTGGAATGAAAATTTCCAAGCTAACGGGGCCAGGGATCTGAGTCCATATGACACATGTCTTCCTATGTGACTGGAGATATCCTAGTGCTGTATCTGCAATAAATGAATCTCAGGAAATACCTTACCTATGTTATGTTTACACACCATGGGAGAAAACTTTTACCAACAAATGAACATCTGTTCTATGGGTAATACTTTCCTCTGCTATTAAGAACCACCACAGATGCAAATTATGCCAAAGATAAAAAAGTGTTTTAACAAGACAGAAAGGTTATTGATATATACATGCAGAAAATACCTTAAGATTTCATGCATTCAGTTTAATTAGCTAATTCATGAGGATTGTGAGCTTCAAGAAACATCTGAATTGTTTCCAGACCCAGGTCAAAAGAGAAACTGTTTTTATGCAGTCAGTTGAAAGTTTCATGTCTTAGATTCATTCTTTTAATTCTTCATTACCATCCTGATTCTATATATGCAAAAGTGATGAAGATGTGGAGTGATTAAGCCAGGCTGTGGGTTTGAATTTATGCCTCCATACTGTGCGAAAAGTATCACTTTTGTTGGGGATTCACTGTTTATTTTTCAAGCAAACAAGCAAATTCCCCTGGATAATGGGGGCTACGTAATCCATCTGAAAGTTATTCCATGTTTTATCAACAAGAGGCAAGATCATTCTTGGTCCTCTTATAGTACCTCTGAGCATCAGGACATCAGACTGTCTATTGAGGAGAAAAATCCAAGGGGAGTAGGGCTTGTATTGTGAATGGTTTTGCGTCTTGATAATTTACCAGGAAGAACAGCATCTTCCTCATATACTGAGATTTTCCAGGCAGCATGACATCTTGAATCTCCTACTTGGGTTTTCTGTGTGTTGGCTAAATGGGTATAATTAGCAGCGTTGTTTTGCAATAAGCATTGGACTGCAGCATATGCAGCTCTAGTTAAGCAAAGTGGAATGAAACAGAGTGGAACTGGGCGTGCAGCACCGATTGAACCATCCCGGCTGCACTTTTTGGAGGGGAGAATCCTTTTGCACAGGACAGCAAGACCCCTGTAACGTTAGACCTACTCATCTGGAATCAGAGGGGATAGTTCTGTGAGCTGTGCTTCCTGCTTGTGCTGTCTTGCTAAAAGTCAAATTGAGGAGATGCCTCTTGAGTGATTTGTGCCCCTGGATACTCCGCTCACACACACAAGCACAAGTCATTCATAACCAGAGGAACAATCCCATGCATGTTTAAGACAGAAAAAAGGACCAGCCCTATGTTACTTTATGAGAGGTGAAAATAAAAAATGTGTAAGTTGCAAGTACCCATTTGCTTGGCTACCTGTGGCAAATACAAACTGCTTGAGATGACCACTCAGGGGAGCTTAGTAAAAAAGCTCTTGGTGGATTAGTAACTTTTGTGGATTAAATTGTAAGAACAAGTCAAAAATTTAACTATTAGAGTTGCTGGTTTGTAAATGTCTGTAATTCATTTGTGAGAAGACCTGGTTTTGAAACTGTGCTGTAACTTGGGAAGATGACAGCTCTCAGGAAATAACAGATCTAAATACCATTAAACAACGTTTAATGTTTGTAATGTTTAATGTTTGGATGAAAAGTGCCAAGCTGTGATTAGGTATCATCAAGTGCCTTTTGGGGAGGTTCTATCAATATGTTACAATTTAAACTTGAGCATTTTCTTTCATTGCAGGGCTTGTAGTGACCTCAATTCACAGATCAGCCTTTGTATAGTATGGATTTGCTCCTTTGTGTAAGAAGTTTTGGGTTAATAATGGGCTACATAAAATACCATTAGCTTCTGAACTGGAAAATTATAATTCGTGCTTTTCCTGCTGTGGGTACAGCATGGAAATTAGTTTGTAAGAATAACTTTTTAATGACAAAAGAGTGTGGAGCTTTCCATAGTGGAGGTAAGTAGCAAAATTACCTATGGAGTCCAACCCAGCTCTCCGCTGACACATCTATCTGGAAACAGATATGCAAAATGCATAATTTGGCACCTCTCTTCTCCTGACCAGTCCCCTGTGGGAATAAGTTTCAGTGTCAGTGTCATCATCAGAAAGAAAAGCTTTGCAAGATGTTTCTGAGGGGATGTGTACAGTACACACAATATCAATGCCCATCTTGCAGTTTGCAGAGAATGGGACTTCAGTTTCTGTTTAAAATCAACATGCACCAGCATGATTGCTATAAATCACAGATAAGTAGCCTTTTAAATCAATGAATGTCATTGACAAATGCTTTTTACTTTATTCACAGAATGTTGACCTCAGCTGTAGTCTCAAAGTCTTATGTCTAACTTGCTAGCAAAGCAAGTTTGCAACTTCTTCTTGCACCGCCCTCCCCAAAGAATTGTTGCATCATTGTATGCAAGGATTCTGTTACAAACATCTTAGAGCACTTCACTTATGGCCACAATGGAATTGCAAATACACAAACTGGTATTTTGCTACATATATTGGCATTCTATTCCACCTCGCCTGTTAAGGCTGCAACCGGGATTAGAAATGGCCTTTGGCACATTTACAGCACTTACATTATGTTTCATCTCATGGAAAGCTTCCTATCATTTCTGTTAATGCAATGTTTGGAAGAACACAGAGAACAGGAGGACACTGCCCAAATTTAAGATTTGGCAAAATGTTAGGAAGGAAGAGTATTTTATCTTTTTGCTGGCATTGTTCAGGTCTAGATGTTTATAGATGGGTGTAAAACAAAGGTGGAGAACCTCAGGTGCAGGGGCCAAATTCAGCCTTTTTGAGATCCCAGTTTGGCCTTGTGATGCTCCCCAGGATGGCTGGTGATTTCTCAGCTTTTGTGCAACTCTTCCTGCCTCCCATTCTAAAAGGCTTTTATGCCTCTCTTAATGCTTAGTTCTTTAGGACTCTTAGTTAAAATATGCTATCATTTTTGGCATTTTGGCCCATTTCCTTTTGCCTCTTCTCCATCAACCACTGGAACATGGGCCCTGAAAGTTTCTCTGAATGAAGTTTGGCTCTCAGGCTGAAAGGTTTAAGTTCTCTGACCTGTGTAGACATTGTATGGGCTGTATCCAGTGGTGTCCATCAGTGGGGTGGCAAATTCTTTCCTGCAGTCTGAAATGCATCCCAAATATGCTGTAGATGTGCTTGGGATGCAGTGTGTGGAGTATAGAAAGGGAATTTTTGGTTGTGTGACTGGATGCTGCTCATGTGAGATTGGCTTTTACCCTGGGAATGAGGGTGCACATAAACAGCCCCTGAGAAGGATGGAGTTTCATGGAATCCTTTCTTTAGTAGGCTTCAGCAGCCTGGCCCTGTTTTGAGCTACAGCCAGGAGTCCAATTTACTGGCCTTCCATGAGTTCTGACTACAACCCATGATAAAGGTGGATTGCTGGTGCTTGCCAGGAAGTATGCTGTTCTCTGAGGAATTCCGCAACCAAATGTCATGGCCCAGGACTGACTCCCTTCCCCTG